CGCCTTATTACTAGGAACAAGAAGCTACTAGGGGCTCCTGGCCTTACCACTAGGAACAAGAAGCTACTAGGCTCTCCTGGCCTTACTGCTAGGAACAAGAAACTACTAGGGGCTCCTGGCCTTACCACTAGCAACAAGAAGCTACTAGGCTCCTGGCCTTACTGGGTCTTACTACTAGGAACAAGAAGCTACTAGGGGCTCCTGGCCTTATCACGAGGAACAAGAAGCTACTAGGGGCTCCTGGCCTTACTACTAGGAACAAAAGCCAATTGAGGGCTCCTGGCCTTTACTAATAGGAGCAAGAAGCTTTTAGGGTCTCCTGGCCATACTGCTAGGAACAAGAAGGTAGTAGGGGCTCCTGGCCTTACTACTAGGAACAAGAAGCTACTAGGGGCTCCTGGCCTTACCACTAGGAACAAGAAGCTACTAGGGGCTCCTGGCCATACTGCTAGGAGCAAGGACGCTACTAGGGGCTCCTGGCCATACTACTAGGAGCAAGGACGCTACTAGGGGCTCCTGGCCTTACTACTAGGAACAAGAAGCTACCTGGCCATAAGAAGCTACTAGAGGCTCCTGGCCATACTACTAGGAACAAGAAGCTACTAGGGGCTCCTGGCCATACTACTAGGAACAAGGACGCTACTAGGAACAACAAGCATGCTGAACCCCGCATACTCCGTCAGATGGTCCTTCATGGCGTGCGCCATCTGGGAATTTGATCCCATCGCCTGCAGCACCAGAGCTACAGCACATTGAGGACGGTCGGTTGCTTGGTGTTTTCATAGCTTTGGCCTCGCCATCCATTCCAGCTGAGAACATTGAAATCCTTTGTTTTTCATTTCCAACTGCGCGAGTCTTCTCGCGTGAGGATGGCGGAGGCCGTGCACTGAAAATCCAGTGGCCCACGGTCGTACATGCCACCGCCTATGTGGTGGAGCTGTGGGAGGAGAACTCCCAAATGCCGGAACGCTTCCACAGCTGCCAAGCAGCAAAGAATGGGCGGGATGGCAAAGTGCAACTCCAAAACATGAGGATGAATGAGACTGCATGGTTCATAAGAGGCTGCAGATATATGGCAGGTGTTTTCTCAGACAGCCCTTTCGCATCCTTTTGGTCGTTTTGCTGCGCCTTGCTTTATCGTCAGACGATGCTTTGTGTGACCTCTTCCCCTGATTTTTCTAGAGCAAGTGCTGGTATGACTTACAACCCCCTCCAGGTTTCTTTAGCGCAAGCCGATGCAAAACCAGCCGTGCCAAGCACGAGGTCACAGTGAGGACGAGGACATGTTAAAGCGGAAATGTCCAAGACCCGCTTCTAGTAGACGCTCCTCCATTTGAATGCCTTGCTTGATGTACCCTATAAACAGCATGCAGCCTCACAAGAGACATGTTGCTTGGCGAGATGCTGCTAGGCTACACCACAGCACCAAATCAAATATGTTTCTACCTTGACACAATGAGGAGAACATCACTTTGTGCATCTAGATGCTTCCGTTTGGCAATGTGGATCAAGCTCTCACAAGGATTGTTGCTGGTTTGTGTCGAGTTCATCCTAAGGAACTGTCCCAGAGAACTTGAGGGAGGTTTTGGTGGAATTGCGGGCGGCTTGGTCGCACTTGGCGGAGGTGTTTTGTGCTGCGTGCACTGGGCCACTGGGGCTCTATATATTTTCCTTTGCATACACACCACTTTAGGCCAACAATCAACGCAGGATTTCCTTCAGCGAAACATGCGCTCAGGTGGGGAACTTGCAGCCTGCTGGCAGCTACAGTGCTTGTGTGCGGGCTGTCGCTCCATGCGGCTGTGAGTCACAACCGTCGCCATGGACTGCGGCCCCAGTTTGGTATCCCAGCTGTGGCTATTTGCCACCAGCAGGCGAGTCGTCGTCAAGCGTTGCATGAGAACCATGTCACTATGTTGATGTAACCTTACGCTGGCAGTGGCAGTGCGAACGCAAAGTAGCCGCTTTTTCATGGCAGTGCCCTGGCGAACGCGGATTCCACGGTGGAAAATCCCCAGAGCGTTTGACTGAAGGATAAGAGGTGTATTTCCTGCCTTCATCTCTTCACCGCTTTAAAGGCTGGGGGCAACCTCCACCAGGACCACTGCGACTTGGCAAACGAAACTCAAGTTCGTTTGAGATTCTTGGCACTTCCTTCGCAAAGAGCAAGGAGTGTTGGAGAGAAAGAGTTGAACCTGAAACCTGTTCGGTTTGACCGTCCACATTGTGGGAGAGGAAGCCGGACTTTGGTGTCCCAAACGTGCCTAACGCTTCCAACGAGGCTGCACAACGGCGCAGCCCATGCGTCCCCGCTGCCGTCGGCGCTGGGCGCGGGCCCCTCACCCCTCCTGTCGACCAATCCCTTGACAGCACCGACCATACCACCCGTGGAGCTGCCTGATGATCGTGAGGCTGCGACGGGCCAGGGGATAGAAGTTGGATGGATCAAGTTGGCGACGTTGAGAGTGTTTGCTGGGGCATTCAATGTGTTTTCACTCCGAACATTTGGTGGGTGCATGCCCAGACCCAAAGCGTGGGTGGTGTATGTGGGTGCTTTTGACACCTTTCCCGCTTCTCCCGCCTCTCCCTAAACAAAGTCGTTCAGAGTTTGCTTCGTTGGTGAAGCATGGCAGGCCTTGCAAGACCGTGCAGTGGAGGCAGCTGCACTGGTGCTAGATTGAGGCGATTGAATAATTCTCTTCCGACTGCTGTGCTTTGATCAGTTTGGTTGCACTGAAACTTGTTTCTGTCTGATTTTTCTTTCATTTCTTCTGTTGGATCGAGCACGTATCATTCCAGAAGTTTGGGTTGCATCGAACTGCCAGGTTCATAAAATGGCAACTTCAACTTCTGAATGCTTCTGAGGTGCGAAAGTGGCCCGAACGATTCGTAGTGGAGTTGCACGCTGAATTGTGGGGCCTGCAATGGCACAGGCCCTCGAAATACTCAATTTGTTTGGCTTGGTCACGCTTACGATCTTTGGGCCAGGGTGTTTGTCTGCCATGACGCATTTCGGGTATATAGTAGCAATTTGAACCACACTTGGCACTTACATAATTAGACACATATTAGACAGTGTATGACAATATCATACATTTATTTTCAGACACTGGTCCTTTTTAGTTGGAAAGGGGCATTGGCTCGACATTCCCCAGAGTTTGCTCGTGTGGCCCGACCAAGCGAACCACCTTTGGCTGCGCAGCCTGAGGGTCGGGAGCTTGGGATGCTATCCTTTCCAAAGTAAAGCTGAAAAAAAAGGAGAGAGATAAGACGACAGAGACACGACCGACGGGACTACATGAGATGACGTGGACCCAGATTCATGCAATGATGCATTCATTTAGGCGACATCGTGAGGGATGTGAACAGCTGCCAGGTCTCCGTGCGAATGATGGAAGCACAACCTCGCAAGCCTGGCTAAGCTGCCAGCGTGTTACCTTGGGCAGACTCCATCGCAAGCACCCAAGCTCGCATGCCGGCTGCTAACTTGCCGGCTTACTTCAAAAGCAGTGCAAGTGTGTGGACATCATTCGAGAGCAAAGTGGCTTACTGTCAGTTCAATCTCGATCACCCCCATGCCTCTAGGCCCAAGATTTGTTGTCAATTGAACTTGTTTGTAGTTGGCATGTTGTCAAGGGTGGACTTCAAGCGTGCTGCCGAAAATAGAGGAGTGCGCCTACCCTTGCTTCAACTTGCAGGTGACTCGACTCAGCATGGAGCCGCACGCCCAACCTGCAGCGGTTGTGCTTGTCAAAGGAGGAACGATGCTTAGAGCCGCCAGGGCTCAAATCGATTGTTGCCATGTGGGTGCTGCTAGCTGTCCTGGTTGGTGCCAACGCTGAGCCCAACCCTCCGGTGTGGCCACAGAGCGTGCAGGAAACTTGGCTGCATAGCATTGTTGTGCTCCAAGCTACGGCACCGCTACAGGCAAATGGCGTTTTTTTATCCCAAAAGCTTTTCCAAGGTCTTTGGTCCAGAAGATGCGACGTCCACCATCGAAGCAGCTGTAAATGCAGCGTATGCATTGAATGGTGGACAACCAGACCATGGACAGTTCTCCTCCCACAGGTGTGAAGAAGCGACAGTGACCAACAGTGCCAGAGCAGGTGGTAAGTTGCTACAGACATAACGTGTGTGATTCTAGCCTGTGTTAGCAACCATGTAAAACATCCAGGTTGTGAAAGCAAACCATGGCCCTTGAGCCCTTGTTGTACGAACAAGCGGATCTGGCCAAGATTCAAACTGGTAGCAGAGCCGGTTCCGGAGAGTTGTTTTCCCATTGCCGGACTCTCACAGCGGCTCACGGATGGTGACCTTTGGAGCTGGGTCGAATATCGTGTGACTGGAGCAATGTCCCTTGCAGGATTGCGTTTCAGATCGGCTACCCACTGCGCAGCCATGCGCAGCCCCACTGGAGACGAAGAGTGGGCCATATTTTCATGAGATTTCGTCATCAGTGAAAGACGCGGAAGACATGGACAGTTCGACCGCCCCTGCGGCCGGAGGAGATGATCTTGGCCGCGCAGGACCTTGGTGTTGCTTCGTCACTGGCCAGCAGGCACCTGGACCACATAGCAGGGAGACCGGCGTTTGTCACAAGCTGTATCTCTTGGAGACGTCCTTGGTGGTGACAAGTGAGAACTCGACTCACCATCATCATCAGTGATGCCATCAGCGGAGACAGGGATTCAGTTGTCAGGAACAGATCATGCGCAGCCGTGTTGTCGGAGCACCATTGGAAGATCCATCTCCGATTCCCGTGCGCCGACTTGTCTTGCAAGTTGTCTATGCTGGATCTGGCTCAACGTCTTGCATCGTTGAAGGCCAAATTGAAATGTCTTCGTTACGGGGGCTTGGGACTCGGAAGTCGCTCGCGTGTATCCCGTGCCAAGAAGTGTGGTACAGGTTTGCACTGAGTGACGCCGCTGCAAATGACAGAGGCTCGGAGGGCGAGAGCTACAACGTTGTTGGGACTAAGTCAACCCGGGATGATGATGAGCCAGGGGACACTGCATTTCGCACAACACCACAATCTTTTCCAGCAACAACCATCTAAAGCATCCAGGTTGCGAACGCTCGGGCTTTGCTCAAGCCAGAGCCCTTGGAACTTTTGTGGTGCGAAAAAGCAAACAGACCTGCCCACCCACATCGACCAGGTATTGGACTACAATAGCGGCCTTAGCTTGTTTAGTTGGACTGTTCTTACTGCCGTGCGGATTGGAATGCAGTTTTAGGAGACAGTAGCAGTAGCATTGTTTTCATGAGAGCTTGCAGGAGGCCCACTTGTCAAGAACATGAACTTGTGACCAATTATATAACTCACGTGTGACGATTGGCTGGAGTCTGGGTCGCTTTTCCTGCTTGTGTTCCTGTGTAATCTTCATTCCGCGGTTGCCATGTCTGATCTGCCTACCACTCCACTGAAAAGATCGTGGCAGCAGATGATGGCGAGAAGTTGCGGAGAGTAGCAAGTTTGACGCAGAACTACACAATGTGCAGTGTGCACAAGGCTGGCAAGAAGGGCGGATGCTCCCAGAAACATTTGCAACCGCAGGATGCTCCAGAAGAGACATTGGCATGCAAAGTTGGTGACGACTTCCTCAAAAAGATCCGAGCTAAGAAATCACAAGTAGCAAAAGAATAAGGCGCCCTCGATGCAGCAGAGCCACCTTCAAAGAAACCGAAAACAAACACCGCTCCTACATCCTCTGTAGCACAGGCTGGAGACAGCGGGGGCGAGCACAGCAGTTGGAACATGACCTTGGCACAGAAGAAGGATGTTGCAGATATATCACTTTCTGCTTGGACAAAAAAGACAGGACACATTTTCGACCTTTGGCGGTGCACTTTGTAGCCACTCTGAGGCAGAAGATGTCCAAACAGAATCCGCTTCGGGCGATCTTTGGCAAGCAAGTGATTGGACCGAAGGTTTTTGCCTCTAAGGCAGGCAGGAGTAGCTGGTTTGCTGCACAGAAGGCCAACCGCAAGCACCGGCTCGCCAAAGTCAAGGGTTGAAAAGGAATGTTTTTCTTGGATGTATGCGCAGCAGGGAGAGGAACTTTAAAAATTCACCATGAACACATGTACACCCTGGAAACACACACAAACAACATCGCAAACTACATGTAGAGTTGATGTGACCATGATGTGAGGGGGTCGCACCGCTTGAACCGCAGAGGAAATCGTGCTCCCAGCAAAAAGTTGATGTGACATAGTGCCTCCACTGTACGGGCAGGGGGGTCCAAAGGAGTTTCTGCATTACATGGCGCAGCTCTGGCCAGGTTTGTGTTCATGTTCAAGCCTGGCAGTTACAATGTTGAAGTGCCAGTTGGCTACTACACGCAACTTGCTGAGCACTACGAATCGCATCGAATCGCGAGTGGGTGCATGAAAAGTAACCCACCATACAATTCGCGCAACGAGGGCAGTTGTCAGTTCTCAAGCACGCCCGTTTTTCAATTGCAGAATGAACTCTTTCCCTTGATGTCCGTTCCCTGCACTGAGGCAAGTTCTAGGTTTGGGGACGCTTCCAACGGAGGTGATTTTCACATCGAGCAAAGGGGTGTACTCCCAGGAGCTCTTGGGCAGCATGTTTGAGCCTGCGTGATGATGATGATGCACGACCATTGGACGGTTTGCACACAAGCCGAGCCTCCAAGGTCCAATTTTGCTGTAAATCCTGGTGCTTTGTGCACTTTCTGGCGTTCAGCAGAGAATTTCCAAACCGATGCCACCTACTCCTGGCCTCTTGGGCTGATGCCACGGGCAGAAGATCATCCCATCGCAAAAAAATGTGCCAATTTTACATTCTTTATTGTTGTGAGCCAAGGAACACCAACGAGAACCAGGGAATGCTGTGGGCAGCTTCCCAAGCTGCAGCTCTCCGGAGGTGGCGTGAAGATTGGAAAGATGGGCCCAAGTTCACAAACCGTTTGAAGATGAGAAATGATCCGCAATTTGTTTTATACTGAGTTAATGTTTGGATTCATATTATGTATTGATATATTTAGTGCATGTATGGTTTTGGTTCAATAGATAGGGAGATGTGCATGACTTGCACAGACGAAACACCAGCCGTTGGACGAATCAACGCATCTGATGAAATATTCGGTGGCTTCGTGCAACATTCTTGCGGCCAATATCGTTCACAGTGCTCCACGTTCGCTGCTCGCGTGCTCAAGAGTTCACCAGGAAGGTCTGCTAGCTGCTGCTGAGGCTTGTGGTCTCCAACGACTTGGACCTCTACCAGTTTCGCAAGGGCGATGAGGTTGCGGGATTTTCGTCGGGTGGCTTTTTGGGCCACTTGGATTCATTGGAGGGGAGCTTAGGCTCCATGTGTTGGAAAGCGGCTCCACACGGAAACGATGTTTGCTGGAGTGGACATGTTTAAGTTTAGATTTCGACGGTCTATGCTTCTCCGTTCTTTCTCCGCGCTAGCAAACCCGCGTTAGCAAGGCAATTCAGTGATTAGAGGAAAAGTCTCCTCCGGATCTCAGCAGCAGTACCTCGCGCGGAACTCCCAGGCCAGGAAGAGTTAGCTAGCTCAGATGCAGTATAACATCATGATACATCATGCACATACTTGAATTTTTGTTTTGGACATGAACCGTTGAGATATTCAACAAACAGCAGGCAGCCATCTTCGGCATGCTGACATGCGCACCTACATGTGTATTAAACCTTGGTATTTATTGGTTTATTTATATGGTTTCTTTATGTAGTTTTAAACATATATATATATATACGTAGACCAACAAATAACCCTAGCAGTTTTCACTTTCTTTGTGCTGCAGACATGCTTGGTATCGCGAGGGCTTCATGTCAAGTGAGCATCGTCTCAGATGAAGCGCCCAAGACAAGCGTTGCCCAATGCTTTCTTTTCATCCAGCTGTGCTTTAGTGACTTCCATGCACGGAGTATATCAGTGGAACAGTAGTCAAAGTGTGATCACAGCAAGGGCTGAGGTACTATGACCTGATACTGATGACACCCCGTCGCTCACACCAACGTGCACGCCAGGAGCACCAGGAGTCCAAATGCCCCTCCTGTCTTTAAAGCCCTCCTGTTTTTTGCTCAACACTGGCAGGTTGATTCTTGGAAAGATGGAGTCTGGAATGAGGTCTTTGTTGGCACCATCAATGCCCCTGCAAGCCATTGCGGTATGGACCAGGAATCTGGAGCAAAACCTTTTGTGACAGTGGATGCAGCGCCTCTGATGGCCGATGCTTGGTTGGTGATTTAAAGCGTCCTTTACACACACGCACATACATATATACATATAGTTCATTTTGCCAAATCACATGACAGACACATGACACCTTTATAGATAAACTTAGACCCTCAAAAGATATGTTTATCCTTTCATTTTGCTGGAATGTGCGCAGAAGGCCTGCGGCAAGACACGACGCCAACATGCGCCAC